TATTTTTAGGATAAGATTAGCTGATTTAAATTTTTTGTAGTAGATAATTAATTTATTTTTTGTTCGGGTCCATTGGAGTAGTGTATTTCTTTATATTTCTAAGTGAAGATTCATCTTGTTTTCGTTGACGTGCATTTGGCGTTTGTAGAAAATATTTATGTTATTTTTGACTGTTCACTATCGTTATTATTTACTTTGGAAAGAAATAGTCTAATTTGGTGGTCGATGAGGTGGTTAAGAAAGTCATTGTTACCTAGTGTCTGTTTTGCATTGTTGAGTTCTTTCAGGAAAAGTAGACGAGAGGACGAATTCTCGTGTGCTCTCTTTAGGAATATTTATCACTACTATTTTATATCTGAGTGGGCATTCACCCTTAAATTAAGGCGGCAAGAGTATCTGCTAGTGGGTTTTTTTTATATAATGAGGTGGTAAAAGTGTTGTTACTGTATTCTATAAAAACATCTAATAATGTAACTTTATTTTTTGACTAAGTTCGTAGATAAAGTTAAGAACAGAGTTTTTTTTCAAATTATGGTCTTCAGATTATCAATTCCTTTTGTGTTTTTCGCGAAAATAAACATATCGTCTACGTAGCGGACATATATTTTAGGTTTACACTGTTTACTGTTTAAATATCGTGTTTTCTATATGGAACATGTAATAATTGGAAAAGCCCGGGCCGAGCGGATTTCCCATACTAGTACCATTACTTTGGGTGTAGATGTTGCAATTATGGTCTTAGAAGGGGACTTTGGCTATTCATCCTCAAAAAATTATTACATCCATGCACAACCAAAGTCCTTTCTACGACAGTAATGGCAACAAATAATAAACTTTGAACCTTTGTCTATCCTGTAATGTGTTGAATGTGTTTGTGACTCTTAGCATTTGTTCTTATCAAATTTTCAAATCATCTCTTTCTTTTTTAATAATTCTGTATATATATTGCAAGTGGATCAAAAATTTAATGTATAGTCACTTTGTCAAATCATGGATCCAATGCTTCTTTTGGAAGGGCTTTTTTTTGGCAAGGCGAGAACTTTTCAGCATCTCTTCGTTTTTATATATATATATATATATATATATATATATATATATATATATATATGGGGGCGCTAATACATGCGTACATGTACATGCAAACAACGATTCATACAAACAAAGAAAAAAATCTATTAAACGATAGGTGGGCGTTCGTTCCAGCAACTACTTTCCTTCCTTAAGCCGTTCCTCCTTTTTATCTCACCATTTTGAGTTTCCTATTTTTTTTTCTTCTTCTTTTAGTTTCCAATTTTTCTCTCTTTCTTTCGTCTTGCCTTTCCTTCCCGTTTCAGAATTAATCAATAACATCTAATACAGGGACAAATGTACGACTACGCATGCGTCAGCTTTGTTCGCAACGGGCGATTTTGCATACTTCTGAAGACTTTTAGGAACAATGGTTGTGCATGTAAATGCGGGCGCAAGAGTGCGCGTATAACTGCATCTTTGTGCGTCAAAGTCATTCGATGTAAATAATATTAAGATATATCTGATGAGGAAGATATGTAAATTCCCCACAATATAGTTTTTACACGTAAGAGATTGGATATATCTATTTATATGTACTATATATTTTAGGATGTTTCAATTTACTGCCATATAACTCGTATGCTAATGTATATGCATTGAAACATTCGTTTTTTTATATATATATATATATATATATATATATATATATATATATATATATATATATATAAGCAAATATATGGATATAGATCAGTATGAAGAAAAATATACGGAAAAACAAACAAAAATCCTAATATGCAATTATGCCGTTTTAATGTTAATATAATGTCAACGTCGGACGTTTCGGTCTAATAGACCATCATGAATATGTCCTGAAGATGGTCTATTAAACTGAAACGTCCGACGTTCACATTTTATTAACATTAAAACAGCATAATTGCATATTAGGATTATTGCATATTAGGATTTTTGTTTGTTTTTTCCGTATATTTTTCTCCATATATATATATATATATATATATTGATAGTATGTTTTCATTAAGACATCCCTCATTTATTCCGAGTACTTTCGACTAACGTGTTGCAGAAAACTAACTTTGTATATAAATTTAAATGTCCCTTGGAAGATTGTATCTCCAACAGAAAAAAATAATATATATGTTGGTCATACTACTACTACGTTGTCTCGACGGTTGAGTTTTCCTTTCAATGATGCATCAAACATATTACAACATTTACAACAGCATGCCTGTCCACATTCGCAATTTAGGAAAATTTATGTTGAAAATACATCTATATATTTTCATGAAAATAATAATCATAAACTAAAAAATTCTTAAAGCTTAAATATTAAAAAAATTTGAAACCAACCCTTACAAAAATTAATTAGGAATACATCGCAAATGTTTTAAAATGTTTGAAGTAGATAGCTTAAAATGTCTAGATTTTAATTAATAGTTTGTTTTTGGGGTTTTTTAAGCAAATTTTACTGATTAGCAAGGTCGATTTTATAAACATAAAAATGTCTTAAAATAATTGTCGGACTTTGTCCATTTCATAACATATATATATATATATATATATACATATGATAAAAATAGTTTTAAGGAATGCTATATTTATGGATAAAAGTGCTTAATATCTGGAATAGAGTGCATGTAAATATAAAAGTGGACACTGTGGTCAACAACAATCGGCGACAGTCTGCGTTAAGTTTCGACGCCATCTTCAAGCCTGAAGGTGGCGACGAAGCATGAAACAAACTGTTGCCTCTAGATGTTGATCACAGTTTTCACTTAAAAAGAAGAAAGAGAGAAAAGGTTAATGAGAAAAAATGAGAAAAAAACACGAAAAGGACAAATAATCACGACATTCTACACGTACGCACATACGCGCAGACGGGAGCACGCGCGCGGACGCGCACACGCACACAGACAATATGAAAAAAAAACAAAAAAAAATGTATACAATCTTGCACCAATGATAAGAGCATATAAAAAAAAATCGAGAAGCATAAGTAGTCAATTGCTGATACCCCCGCCCACTGGCGTGTGGACGGACAGATCCGTCTACGAAACTCTGAAATTGGGATACTGAAAGTAACATCAATCAATTTAGTGACAATCCTTTTACTTGTATTAATTCTACACAGAAACACACACACACACACACACACACACACACACACACACACACACACACACACACACACACACAAATAATAATAGATATTTTTACAAATAACAAAACTTTTAGACCTTGAGGTTAACGTATTTAAGGAGAGCAGAATTTTGCAAATAAAGAGCTAAAGATTAAGAAAGAGAAAGCCAAAGAGAGAGAGGCGATGAGAGAGAGAGAGAGAACAACAATAGTTATTAGATAAACAAAGTTCAACTCTTCTGACTTCGAGCATTGCAGGCAAACTGTTCCACTTGTCAGCGTCCGATAAATCTATTGAATGCATGAACAGATATCACATTTATTTATTATTTTAAGTGCGTTATATAAGAAAACGTCAGTCAATGACGCCAACTAAATTTCGGTACATTTTGAGTAAAATTCCGCTGGTTTTGAGGTGAAAACGTTTTCAACGAACTCTTGAATCTTTCAGATTAATTTGTTTATTAACATTTGAATGCTGTCACTATATAATGTTTTTAGCATAGAACAGGTTTGAAATTTATTGTATTGCCTGATAAATACCAACCAGTCATTGCAAACAACAAGGAATATATAACCGAATAAATTGTAATTTTATATTTTTTTAAGAATAAAGTTGAAAAACAAAAATGCAACTTCTTTTTGATTCAACCTAATAGATAACTCGGCAGTGTTAAATCGATTATTTTTATGTATGATTTGAATATCACAGATTTTTACGAAAACGGTAATGTAATGAATGTTAAAGAATTAGAAGATTGTATAGCTGCAATGTCCTCTAATGATTATTTTTTCGGTCAGTAAAAAACTATTATGTGCAGGTGAATAACGGAGAGTCGAGTTCGAATTCTACCGGAGTTCGTTATATTGACTTACACGCAAATAGCATTGGGGAAAGGTATGAATGCACCGCTTCTTCCTCCCAAATATAGGTTAAATAGCAGGGCAGACTGGGTTTTAAAGCTTTGTTTGGGACGCAGTCTACTTCAGAAAGTAAAGTCATCCTACTGCTGATATTCTTCTGCTAAATCAATCCTGAATCGAAAAAAGATATGATTTCCCGGGTGTGGATCACGTATGGCACCTAAGGAACGAAGAACTCGTATAGTGTTATTCTCGAGTCGACCGAGAAAGTTGTTTTAGTATCTTTCCGCCCTGAAAATCGGCACTCAGAACTTAGATTCGAACTCCGATAGTTAAACCTACAGGTTGACTGGCTCTCGATTTCGCTAATGGAATCAGAGGTATATGGCTGTGAGCGAGTGTGCGTGTTTTTTGCGGGTGTGTGCGTACGCGCGTTTATGTTTGAGTGCTTATATTTGTATACATGTGTGTATCTTTGTGTGCGTGTATGTATGTGTCTGCGTGTGTGTAGGTTTTTGTATGTATATGTTTGCGTGTGTGTATGTTTGTGTCTGTGTTCGTACAGGTGTGTGTTATGAGAAAGAGAATGGTTTTCCTACAAGTGAGTTGTTGTCCGTTTGTAGTGTCAATTCAAAATATTGTTTCTTAATATTCCATCTATCTCATCGATCACAGTTGGGATCATAGATTGGTTTGTTGGTTGTTTTTGTTTAGTGGTATATCAACATCTGTATGAGTTATTTAAGGCCAGAATCTAAATATTTATTTATTATTTTAGATAATAAAGGTCTAGTGATACAAGTGTTACTAATTAACCCATAACTGGGGAGAGAAGAGATGGATTAATACCTCTCCCAAGAGTATTTGCGCATAAACAGAATTAATGAACCCGACTGGAATTGGAACGCGGCTTTCCGATTAACAATTCCCAGCCATTATCTATTACACCACCTGCACATTCAAGTTTACAGCATCTAGTATTCCCAAGCGGTCACCCATCTAGGTACTGACCAGGCTCGACATTGCTTAACTTCGTTTGTCGAACTGGAGCCAATATTTCAACGTAATGTGGGCGTAAGCCCGGGATCATAGAGTCATTGCGAACTCCATGATACTTTCGTTGGCTCATAGTATGTGCTTCGCTAGGGCTACAAACGGTTTTGAGTTGCCCTTCATCGTTATTGGTTGCCAACCATGGATAGCGAGTCCTGCTATTCAATCCATATTTGTGGGGAGAGAAAAGAGTGGGATACATGCAGTGGTGGGATTCAGCGGGTTATTTTATGAATTTTATGAGCTCAGCGAACCGTTGCAACCCGAACAAACAAACTACTAATTTTAGATTGTCGACAAATTATAGTCACATAATCGGTTGGTGAAGTAAATTCAGGTGATCGAATAAAGGTTAATACAAATTTCATGAACTGCTGAATTTGCTAGAGTCAGATACTTGGAATATTCAAGAAACAGTTATTCCCTGGAAAGCTGTGGAAGAAAAGCTGAATGAGTTCAGTAAAAATTTTCATCACAACATTCCCATTAATGATTTTCATGACTATGTGGAAAATCTCCTGAAAAACTTTTATAATCCTGTAATTCCTGAAAGTGTACAAAAAGCGAAAACTATTATCAATATGATTGCTATCAGTTCTTTCAAGGCAGAAAGATGTTTTTCAAGAATGAAAATTATATACTCAGATAAAAGAAGCCGCCTTACTGTGGAAAATGCAGCGAACTTGATGACAATTAATCTTATTGGTCAGGTGATTTATGGAATGCCACTCCTTTCGTTAAAACATGGCTTAGAAAAAAATCACTGTGCTGATGACTACAGAGTGGTTCCAAAAAGCTGAAGACCATGATGGCAGTCAAGTGGTTATTTGGAAATTTTAAAAATGAAAAATCATGAATAAAAGATTATAAAGCATTTCTTTAATTATTTTTCCTTTCAAAATGATAACGTGCAATGTAATGTAGATTAATTTTTGGTATTTTTCATTAAGTGCAAGAAAAATTTGCTTTATTCCTAAATTATATCTATATAGTAAAATATAGGCTATGGAAAAAATGAGGGAATCTGTTGCTATTGAGAGCAGTTGTTGAGAGAAACCATTCTTAAAATTTTTGAATCCCACCACTGGATACATGCCTTTCCCATAATTCCACCACCTGCAAATTATTAATAGTAATCCTGATTAAGATGAAAGTATATTGATCACTTGAAAGTGTTATCGAAATGTTGAGACAGAAAAAACATTAAATGAGGCATCAAGTGTTCAAAAGGTCGTCCTTCTGCCTCAAGACAATGCCCGCCCTGTCGGCAGGGGCTTTAGAATACGCCAACTGCACCCTCTATCGAGGGATAAGACACCAATGAGGCCACCTCACCTCTGTGGATGGCGACCCGTGCTGTCTGAGGAAAGAAACCTGGAGGCTGAGCAATCAATGACTCGAGTTTATAAGTGATCATGTAATAGTCAACACTCCTATTTGGACTAGACGGGTGGGGTCGGAGAGGCCCGATCCCTTCCCATTGTCTGGTCATGTCAAGCGCTAGCACCTATATAATTAAGTTCGACATTCACAAACTGATCGCGTAATGATCTAGTAACCATCCATTTAGTATTTTATAGGTTTATAACAAAGCATATAACACCGACAATAGATCATCTGCAAACGCCATATCTATAAAACATACGGTTACCCTGAATGTATAAAATTATGTACAAAATATCTGTAGTTGAAGGCATAAAACTGCGTACAAAATATTTAGATTTTAGCATTAAATAATCCATACAGGTTGATTTGCCGCTACACAAAATCAATTCTTTAAAAACTCAACGCTTCGCTCGTATCTTCGAAAGGCTCAGCAGAAAACATCAATGGACGTATTTCTTGTCATTGTGCAACACTTTATTTCGGATTGGATCGCATAACTTAGACCACATCCTTGACGTTTTTTTTACTCCAGAAAGAAAAAATCAAGTGTCTTTAATTCTGTTACATTTAGATAATATCTGACATCATCTTAAAAATGATTGATTCATTCTCTTCAAAGATCATAAATCTCTTCCCATCAAATAGTTGAAGCATTCGAACATAATTGATGTTTGAAATATGAAGTGGGTATATAATGGTGTGCAAAAGAAATTAGTCACCGAGTCAACAATAAAACTAATTTATTAAATTTTTTACTAAGAAATTTTGAATATTCGAAAATGTACATTTCCGGGGTCGTATTTGTAGCTATTCCAGATTGTAATGCAAATTGTTTTTAACCATTTCACCTCAAGCAAAACAATAAAGCTACTAAGACGCAAGAGGTTACTGAGTGTTAGATGGTATGCGAAAAAAAAAAGAAGAAAAACTTCTATTGAGGAGAGAGGACAATAAAAGGACAAGAATTAAGAAAAAAAAAAGAATATAACGATTTACATTACATTTAAATTTTTGAAGATTAAATTTGACTGGGAAATCAGAAGAAAGTTCCAAAAGCGAGACGTTCGAGAGAAGAAACTGTTAGTAGAGAACTAACGATTGCATCTAGACAATTCATTAGTAAATTGATGAGACTTTGCCGCCAATCTAGTACTGCACTTAAATTCATGCAATCTAGGTACCATAGCGGAAAGATCGTCAGAACAATTACTATTCTGGTGCTTCTGCTATGTATTTAAAGATTCTTGATAAAAGCCAAAGAAGAATCTACAATGTCGTTGCTTCTGGCATCTTGGCTTCAGACACGTTCTCATCTCCATAACTTAGCTTACCTGTGCCATTTTCTATAAATATTTTCATTGCAATTGTTCTGATGAACTTTCCTCTTATCTAGATTTTATGAATTTAAATGTTATACTAGATTGGCAGCACGTTCTCATCATTTTAAAGTTGAAATTACTAAAAATAACCGTAAGCTCTGTTTCTTCTCTCGAACTTTTCGCTTGTTTTCCAGCCATCTTTGATGTTCAAAAATTTAAATGCAATATCATTCGTTAGCTTCAGTCTACTTATTTCCTGTTCTTTTATTGTTCTCTGTCCTTAATAATGTTTTTGCTCATAGTCTCTCACTCAGTAACCACTTGCGACTTATTGGCTTTATTGCCTTGCTTGGGGTTTTCAAAAATTCGTTCGGAATATTTTTCCATTCCTCTTAATAGTAAACACAAAGATCTTGTAAATTCTTTGACTTCTATTAAATGAAGTGTATAAATAAACCCAGTTAAAGGGTAGCAACTAGGCCCGGGGAGAAAAGGGGACACGCAGCAAAAACATAAACAAGACACTATCGGTCTCGCTAGCTCCCTGAATCTATGGACACGGATCGCTAATCAAAGCCATCCGCATTCATTCTTACAACTAAATGATAAAATACTACATTATATACCCGAGTTTTCACCTCTATACGTTGGTTCGATTATGTTATGGTCAGGACTTTGGGTAGGTTAGTCTTGTAAATCTACAATGTCGTCATCCCTGAAATTTTTACACGTGATATATGGCAAAGTGTTCTATTAGGTCGGGATATTTTAACTTCTGCTATATTTGGTAATAGGTGGGAATTATACATGGTGATAGATTTTATATATATATATATATATGTTCAGTGTTCCATAGATTTTTATCAACCTTCTTTTACGATTGCTTTTATCTAATCCCCTCAAATTCCCTCCAGTGGATTTGTCTGTTGCATATTTTGGATTGTATCGAGTTATCTTCAGACATACCCCCTTGCATTGGAATTCAAATTCAATTCTGTTTTGCTTTCATCAATTTTACCCATTTTTATCCCATAATGGATGTTCTTTTGCCCAATGTTTTTGCCTTATTCGATATATTTTTATTAATGATGTTTTTTTTTTGTTGCAATGCATCCATTGAGATTAATTAACAAAAGTCAGAAAAGGAAGTGTGTGAAAAATTAAAAGCGCAGTAAACAAGAAGAACAGATTGACCAACAAGAAAATATTTGAAGCCGTTTTTGTTGCAAATATAAACGGAAGAAAATATGCAGAATTTTCAGAACATCGGCGAAAGATATTAAAACAACCAAACAGCAAGTAAACAGCACAAAGAGAAACGTGCAAATTGTACAGAAAAGGGTTAACTTTTGCTGATGAATGTTGAGTTACATTGAATGAACCTGATGATTGATGACTGAGTTGGGTTCTTCATGGAAATAGTCAACCAACATGATTTCGAGGCCAACAAAGAAAAATGAAGTAAAGTTTTCGGCTACTACTGTAGATAGTAGAATTATAGTTCTCCTTTGAGTAGTGTCAAAATAAATACAGATAACTATTGTAAGTTATTAGACGAGATGATTGTTAAGTGGTGCAGGTCATAAATTAGAACCTGAAGTTAAAGATGATATTTATGGAAATCGATGCTCCTTCAAAGTTGAATACTGTACACCTTACCAAAAAAAAAAATAATAATATTTCAAAGGCACCAAAGGAATGGGATGGTAACCAAATTCTTCAGATCTATCTGAGAACGAAAAACCCCTATTCAGGTAAATATGATGTTGAAGTTGAAGTAGAAAAAACGAAACAAAATCCAAGATAGAAAAAACTGATGAAGGCTCCTCGGACCAACCCTCTTTTTTATTGACATAAACGACCTGCCTAAGAATATACTCAGATCATTTGTAAACATCTATGCCGATGATACGACTATATACCGGTGCACCTCTAAAATTCTTGATGACCAGTAAATTCCACTCGAACAGCTTCTTCCCGTGAACCGCTTCTCTGTGGAACCGACTCCCAAAAGAATGTTTGCCCGCTCACTATAATCTTAAGCCACTTCGAGGGTTACCTTCCTCTCCTATCTGTACAAACTGCCTCCCAACGTAGCCCTCTACCTTGAGTGGCTCCTGAGCCTTGTACAGCGTGAACCTTACTGTAAAAAAAAAAGGTTATAGAATGTTAAGGAGCCCGTATTAACGTGTAGAATAATAAAGTAATTTATTCAAGTATCAAATATTATGTTATTCAGACATAGGTTTCAAAAGTCAAAAGCTTTTGAATGTATCTGTAAATGAAAATTAATGTTGCACTTTGTTTGCTTAAAACCC